AATGGATCTGAACTTGGAGCCTTCGGACCTCGGCGGTTTTGGAATATCTACATGCTGATCCTCTTTGTCGTGGCACGTCAGCTCGTCGGGGGAAACCATCCGAAGACATCAAGATGTTTCTCGCTATCTTGTACTTCGCTTTGCCCTTAGTGGGTAAGTTGCTGGCGTCTGATTTCTGGCTGTACATCGCCTCATAAAGCAAAGCGTGGGGTTTATGGGATCGGATGCCTGACGGTTGTCAGTCTATTGTTTAGGCAGAACAGTGAAGTTTCCAGTAGTTTTTATGGGTCTGCCTCACATCAGTTAACCCAGCCTACATTTAAAGCTCTGGGAAATTACAGACTTAGATACTTGCCTGCGTAGCCTCTTGTTAAATTGGGTTCTGACAAGTTACGGGGAAACTTTTTGTTTTAATAAGATAAGGTTGCTTGGGGAAGGGGGGGGTGTGTGTGACAAGAGCCAGCTGAAGGATTACATCTTCACCTGAACCTGGCAGCCTGCCTGCGTGCCTGCCTGGCTGCGAGTGGTTTGCAGCCCAAAGTGGTTTCCTTTCCACAGGAGATGTCTGCGTTTCCATCTGTGTGTGTCTGAGGGAGCGTGACGGGGGGCACGATGGAGAGGAGAGAGTTAATGTAATTTGCTTTGTTCTCCTGCAAAAGCATCATACGTGGAGAGAAATGGAGGGGGGGTGGAAGTCATAAATTCTGCCTTTATACATGTAGAATAAGCAAAAATGCGTACAGCCTTTAAAAAGTGACTGACGCAGAAAGAGGCTAATATCAATCAGTGAGGATACTTATCTCTCCGAGCGGGCTGTTCGTGGATGTAATTGAAATCACAGCGAAGCTCTTGTGGAAAGTGGGGCCGAATATTTAACCCCTCAGTGAAACACTCAAACGGAAAGGTTACTTGTTTCACCAAAGTGGATCTAAGGAATAACGAATGCTTGTTTTGTCAGGCACATTAACCCCTGTGGGTTTTCTTTCCTTTTCGTGCTTTTACATAAATCACCCGGCAGGGTTAAAACGTCCTGTTTCCTTGGACTCCCACAAAAGTGGATCTAAGACCAGGAAAACCCCGAGTGCTTTTTCCGAAGGTGTAGCATGAAGCCCTGAGGTTTGCTGCCCCTGGGGCTGGCTGCAGTGTGCAGCGTGAGGAGGTGCCTTTGTGCTTCCCAGATGCCTGCTTTGGAGACCTGGTAGAAGCAGCCTCGTCCCTCAACAAGAGTTTGTCGGTTTGTGTCTCCTCTCTCTAGATGTACTGCTGTCTGCAGAAGTGAGCGGGCTGCCTGGAGGGGACCGCCTGGACTGCGTGAAAGCCAGCGATCAGTGTCTCAAGGAGCAGAGCTGTAGTACTAAATACAGGACACTGAGGCAGTGCGTAGCCGGCAAAGAGAGCAACTTCAGCCGGGCGACGGGCCTGGAGACAAAGGACGAATGCAGAAGCGCCATGGAAGCTCTCAAGCAGAAATCCCTGTACAACTGCCGCTGTAAGAGGGGCATGAAGAAGGAGAAAAACTGCCTGCGCATTTACTGGAGCATGTACCAGAGCTTACAGGGTACGTTGGGAAACAAAGAAACGTTACACTCCCCTCACGCGGTGCGTGATTTTGCAGCCCCTCGCATCCGCGGCTAGCTACCACCACTGAGGCTAAACCCAGAGCCTGACCCCATAATTCACATTGTGCTCTTCAGCTGCAAACTGAGGACCTTTCATCCGACTCAAGAACAGCTGCTGCTCCGTCTCCTGTTGTTGGGAAATCCACAATGAGGGTTTCCTCCAGGGGACCCAGCTGACCTTTCGAAACCCGAGTCAAAAGATAAAGAGCACTAGCAAGTGCAAAAGCTACAAAAACAATCATTTGGAGATATTTTCCTAATAATATTTAAACTCCTTAGTTACGACTCACCTACCGAGATCATGGGACGCTGGAACTAGTTTCTTAGCTCTTTGCTGAAAGTTAAATGTAATATGAAGAGGAGCATTGTTTTAAGGAAAAGTTTATTCTTTCCTTTCCTGTGTTTACTAGCAGTATTCCCTGGCCATGCTGAGGCAGAAAAAAAGAAGTTTGTGCTTCCTTGAGCTTGTAGAAGTGCCAGTTAGAAGGGTTATGACAGTGATTGACTCGGGACTTCTGTTCTTGATGATCTTGGCAAATTTCCCATAGTTTACCAAGAACAGTCAGGCCCTTATATGAGATACATCATTTTCAGCCGAGCTTTGCTCTGCCCCTGGACTTGAAGATGCAGTCTTTCGCTTCAGTGTGGTCCCCATTTAAGTCATTTCTGTAGCTGCTTCTGCAAAAAGGGAAGTCATCCCTTTCTGTTCATTTATCCAGGTATCATCTGGAATGTTTTAATGAGTCAATATATATTTTTGTTCCAACTTTCATAATAAATTACACTACTCTGGGACATTTTCTGCATCATAAAAAGTTGCCCTTCCAACAACATCTTGTCGGGAGTGTTTTATTCCAAAGATGCTAGAAGTTACCTGGGCTGCTCCTCTGAAAAAGAGCTCTGCTGGTAGGGTGAGTGAAGAGGAACATCCCTGCTGCAGCCTCTCTCCTGCTGGCATGAGATGGGACAGTCCCTGTGATGTCACAGGCTGTCTCTGCAAATTATGACCTGCTCCATGGTGGAAGGAGAGAAAAGAACTGGTGACAGGGGTAAACAACTGGCTTCTTTCAGTTGTTTTGATAGATTTTCTTTGAGGAGTAATAGCCATATAAACAGATTAAAGGGGAGTACTTTTTGCTGTTACAGAGTAACTTCACTTCAAAGTAAACCACAAAATCTTATCCTGAAATTCTCATAAAAGAAAAAAATTTCAATATTTTTTGTCTTTAGGAAATGACTTGCTTGAAGATTCCCCTTATGAGCCAGTCAACAGCAGACTATCAGACATATTCAGGCTAGCACCAATTGTATCAGGTAAGCAGACTTAAAATTCTTTAACTGAAGCATGATTACAATCTGCTGCTTTGTAGTTGAATTACGGAACTTTCAAGCAATGCTCTATTAAATAAAAAGAAATGTTAATGTCTTTCTGGGTTTAGGAAGTTCACAATATAGTTGTACAAAAGAAAATACTAATTGGTTTTGACATAATAACCAAAACTGAAAGACTGCTTGGCAGGATGGCAATTTGTATTCTTTGTGAGTCATTCTTGACAATAAATGCTAAATTTTCCTGTAGGTGGCAATCTGATTCCCTGCGTTCCTAATTTACAAATCATTTCCTTTTTGGGAATACGGTCAGTGCAAGTTACCTCCCATTGACATGAAAGAAGATCAAAAGATAAATCTTTAAAACATTTGCATAAGGGAATGCTTTATAGTTTCATACATTTTTGTTTAAAAAAGAAATTGCAGAATTAAGGCTTGTCTTCTTTTCTGGAATTGCTGCCTGTCTAAAGAGCCTGTTCACAACTTCCTGCTTTTTCTAGTTTTTCTCTGAACATTTTCTGTTGCAGTACGGCTGTCTTTCAGAATTTTTTTGTAGCGATTTGAATATATCACTTTGTAATTAAAAAGTGCTGTTTGGTTTTTTTATTAGCCTAAATTATATTCATTTTGGATCATATACATTGAAACAATGATTTGGGGGAATTCACAGGGGTTAGAGGTTGGAATTAATTTTCTGTTTTGGAGTTTCAGAAAGTCTTGTGAGGATGCAGTCTGTACTCAGGACCTTTATTTGTGTGTAGTTACATTAAAAAATTGACTGTGCACAGTATAATGTGTTAGTCTGACAGTGTTGAAGCTGTAGTTAACTGACGTGCTATGGATAAGCATTAGTAGATGGCTCTTTAAAAGAAAGAAGACAAGACCAGAGAGAGTGGCTTGACCAATTTTCAGAAGTACTTACGCTTTTTAGGACCCAAAGTCTCATTAAAAGCCAGGGGGATTTAAGTTGTTAAGTATTTAATGGTACAGATTTTCAAAGGCATATAGACACATAAAATGTAGATAACTGCCCATTGGGATCTTCAGAAAGGACTAAGTGATTGAAATAGGTGTTAGATGCCCAGAAGGTTTTAAAAATTTTAAGTGCTTAATGCATCTTTAGGTATCTTAATGCCTTTGAAAATCAGCCCTTTAGTCACTTTTCAAATTGTGACTTCAGATCCAAATCACATACACCTTTTGAAAGCACTATCCTAGTTTGGCGAGCAAGTCTGTTGGAGAAATACTAGAGAACAAAGATTAACTTCCGAAGAATATTTATTTATTTTATTTTTTAGTGCTTAAAACCCACAACTTAACACAAAACCTAGACAAAATCAATGCAGAGGAGTCCCAGGCTGTTTTCTTGAAGTTTATGGTCAGCCTGGTGGGGGCCAAATTCTAACCTACCTCAGCAGTTTTATGATCTCCATAGAAGTAACCTATGTGCACTCTGCTTTTGTTACTGTGTAGGTTCCTTATTTGCTTGCAAAGCAATTATCTTAAAAATGCAATAATTTTTTTCCCTACCTATTCTGTGCAACAATGAAATAAGACATAGTTGCCAACAAATGACATCCACCCTACCACAGTCACTTAAGGTGCTGGTGGACTGGTTAGACCTCATTCTGTGGTAATAGTGCACCCCAAATTTCTCTTCGCTTTGCCAGGAGCTTCAGGTTTACAAGGACTGGAGGCCTGGATTCACAGGGAGCGACAAGCAAAAGTCATAATACGGTGGAAAAACACCACTATTTGGAAGTATTGTTGTCTGAAGGAAAAAGATTAGCAAAAGCATTTTTCTTATTGTCATGGTTACTACTGCATTTTACATTCTTTAAAGCTGCCTAGTCGTACAGATTTTTTGCAGGTGTCTGCAAATACCCCAAACAGCAGAAGTTGGTAACATTTTTATATCTTGATCAAAACAAAACCAAACCTGTACAGGCACTGTTGGTAGGGCTTTCATAACTGGTGTTCTGCTAATGTCTTAACTGTGTTTATAGATGTTGCTGCAGTATTCAGTCTCATTAAAGTTACTTGGGGGTAATTAAAAGCAGTGATTAACCCTTTCATCTCACTAAGGCCATTCTCTGGTGCTGTATGACTTGGTATATATCAAGTATAATGCTTTTTCCATCTTTTTTTTTTTTATTTTTGAGACAGCATAGAAAATCCCAAGTTGTCTTTCATGGTACATAAAAGAGGAAAAACAGTGGCTAAAGATGACTGTTTTGTGTGTTACATAAGTCCTTTGTAGCATACGTAAGTTTAAGAAATGGAGGACAGCTTTTAAAAGCAGTTAAAGTTGATCTGCTTCTATACTGAAAGATGCTCATAATTACATCCTTTATGGAAACAGGATGACACTTTCTCATTAATCGTTCAGGCATCAATATGTTGATTTAAACAAAAAAAAAAATGTCAGGAATATATTGCTAAACCTGTTACTAAGTTTGTAGTTTCTCTCCAGTTCCTGTTCTGTTAATGGGGCAAGTGAGGCAGTCATGCTACTGAAGTGAATCTTTGTTTTGTGGTTTAAGTGGTCTATGTTATACTGGGACCGGCGGTGCAGTTAATCTAGAACTAGAAGGACAAGCTAAGTGTTCTGTGTAACATTTACAACAGTGTCCAACAACAAAGAAAAGAAAAATCTAAACCCACAAAATTATTTACCACAGTACTAGCTGTTACGCCCAGGATATCATATATTTAGATGCTAACAAGCAAGAGTTTTGCATTTGAATCGCTACTAAATTTGCAAGGGAAGTGTAATTTATAAAAAAATGATTGATGGCTAAAATAGGAATGTGAGTTTAGTGTTTGATTTATTTCTGATGTTGTATCCTGAGCATTCAAGAGTCTGATCTTCCTTCCTTTCCGTCTACACTTCAAGTTCGTATTTCAGCTCCTTCTATGAAGTTAGTCCTCTGACACCTCGCGTGGCCAAATCCAGGGCCATGAGTCTTGCCAGTTGAAGGACAGGGCTGTCTTTTGTTTTGGGCGTGTCTAGGTCTGAATTTTCTTTAGAACTACTATATCTGATGTGGTGCTTCTGCCTCAAGGGTGTGAATTTCTTGCTGGTAGGCAGTTCTTCAAAAATTGAAGACTTGTGTCTGTGTTTTAGAGAGTAACAGATTTGGGTTAGTTATTGTGATGTAAAGATTTTGCTTAAACAGACATTTTTGCTTAAACTTTAACAACTTCTGAGAGGTGAAAACATTTTAAGTCCATTAACTTCTGTCACAACTACAGTAAATGCAGTATTTGTTGACTGGATTTCAGAGGTGAGTTTCACACCAAATTAAGGACAGATGCTAGAATTGGTCACATGTTAAAGCTATCTACAGCTTTTACTACCTGTGGAACTGTTTTCCTCTTGAATTTGTATTCTACTTAACATTGAACCTCACAACTGGAAGATATTTTGGTATCAACTGATACAGTATAGGGGTCATCTCTGTGGCATGTTGTAAAAAAATATCCTGCATAAAAACTGCAGCTTCATGTACCTGTAGAAATAGTTACAAAATAAATGTTTCTGAAATGTCTCATTCACTTCAACACAAAATGGAGAGCTACTAAAGTTGAAAAAAATGCCTTAAGCCATATCTGTGAAGTGGTGTAAGTAGAATACTTAATATCAAAAAGAATTGACTATTTAGATCAGCATATTTAGGATGACATACTGATCTCCTCCAATGGATTCATTTTGAAGTTAATCACGGGCTTATTATCCCATTGTTCAGATTTGTGTATATTTTCTTCTTTCTTTACATCTATTATGTTCAGAAATAATATTAAAGAACAGGCTACGTAAATTGGAATATTTCTGAAAACATGTAGGTTTTACTGGTAATCTGTGGAGAATTGGTCGGTTACATGCTGCTAGTTATGGCTTGTTTCTAGTTACTAAAAAGCAACACAGGTAGAAATGAATTATTCTGCCAATATTTCTTTTTAGTCCCGTAAACTATCTTTGTAAACTGCCTTTTGTAACATTAGCAAATGAGAGAAAGAAACTGGCCCGTATGATTATACATCAAATGGAGTGTTTCCTGATTCTGCCGTTCTCATGAGAGGCAGTTTACTCTTGAAAAACTCTGGGAATCTTCTGTTGCAGAAGGTATGTGGAAGCTTATATTTAGAAAAGAGTATATTTTATACTTATGGTAAATTTATGAATTAAAAACAAGAGTTCAGTAGACACCGCAGGACACAGGGCTTCTCACTGGAGTGTATCATTCCACATTATTACATGGGTAGCACAGACATGAAGTTAGCAGGTTTGATTTGCATACTGAATAAGTTATAAGTACAAATACAAACAATTATGGTCAGTAAGGTGGTCTTTTATTGTATTTAAAAAGTTAAGACTATAAAAAGTTAGCAGTGCTGGAATTCTCAGAAGGGTGTGTGTGCTAGTGGCATTTAAATTAGGCAATCTCATCTACTCTTCTGTAGGATTTCATGCAGATGGGTCTGGGTGTCCCTCTAGGATCTCTAAGTTGTTCACAAGGAGAGAGGGTCATTTAGGAGTTTTCCCTTCTTCCTCTGAGTTTTTCAAAGTCTTTTTAGGCATCCTGTATCATTGGCGTTCACAGATCAGAAAGTCGATGCTTGGAAAGAATGAAGTCCGGTCTGTGAAACACTTCCTTGAAGATGTGACAGACTTTTATAACGGGAGACTTCCCTCTCTCCAGCATAAAACCTGCTCTGAGTATTGATGACAGCTATCTGGCCCCTCCCCATTATTTTGTCCTTCCCAGGGATGGGGTAGAGACATCCCAGAGAATGGACTGCAAGAGTTTCCCTCGGAAAAATTGCTGGTGACAAAGGTGGGGGAGGGAGGTTGGGATTTTTCACTGTGAAGATCCAGAGAAACAGAGCTTCCTTGTCTGTGTGCTTAAGGTCCTTTAAGATTCCTCATACCTTCTCTTTCTGCTACTTCTGTGAAGAGGGGCTGTAAAACTAGAAGACACTGT